TTGACCAGGATGGTCTCGATCTCTTGACCTCGTGATCCACCCGCCTCGGCCTCCCAAAGTGCTGGGATTACAGGCTTGAGCCACCGCGCCCGGCCTTATCATTTGGTTCTTATATATTTAATAGACCCCCTGAAGACTTTGGAGACTAAGCTCTTAGAGTCCTTTATTATTATTATTATTTGTTTTTTTATTTTTTGAAATGGAGTCTCAGTCACCCAGGCTGGAGTGCAGTGGCGCAATCTCTGCTCACTGCAACCTTTGCCTTCAGGATTCAAGTGATTCTTCTGCCTCAGCTTCCCGAGTAGCTGAGACTACAGGTGCACTGTCACACACAGCTAATTTTTTATATTTTTGGTAGACATGGGGTTTCACCATATTGGCCAGGGTGGTCTCGAACTCCTGACTTCCTGATCTGCCCACCTCAGCCTCCCAAAGTGCTGGGATTACAGGGGTGAGCCACTGCACTCAGCTGTATAGTCCTTTATTTTAAACAAGTTTTAGATGTACAGTATTTCCAAGTTTTTAATCACTTAATAAAATGACGCCATTGACTAGTCAATGGCGTCATTTTATTAAGTGATGACAGGTTTCTTTATTATATTATCTATTTTTGCTGTCTATGGGGAGGTTACAGAGCTCACCTCAAAGTGATCCCTCTGCAACCCATTGGCTTTTGAAGAGGTGATGTACAGGTGGTGCTAGCTGTGTATACACTGATTAGGACTTTCTGGGCAGAGGAGCAGGTGCTTCTGGTGGCCCTCTGGGAAAGGTATTCTAGTTATCAGTTCTCATACCCAGGCGAACTGTGTAGCTGTAAAAATCAGGTCTGCCATCTAAAAGACTTAATATCGTACTTTGTCCATCAAGAAGGACCAGCTGCGTAATGAATATATATATATATATATATATATATATATATATATATATATATAAAAATCATACTTGGGACATCACAGGGTTTCGGTCACAATTACCCCCCGCCCAGACAGAGTCTTGCTCTGTTGCCCAGGCTGGAGTACAGTGACACCATCTTGGCTCACTGCAACCTCCGTCTCCCAGGTTCAAGCAATTCTTCTGCCTCAGCCTCTTAAGTAGCTGGGATTGCAGGTGCCCACCACTACTACAGCTGGCTAATT